CCCACCTCGGCGGCCCGGGTTCGAACTCGGGGTCTGGTCAAGTGGGATTTGTGGTAGACAAAGTGGCGCTGGGGCAGGTTTTCCCCGAGTAGTTCGATTTCCCCTGCCAATCTTCATTCCACCAATTGCTCCACAATCACACTCACCTAACATCTGGGGCTGGTACAATAGGCCAGAAGTGCCCGCAGTACCGCACTAGCAATAAAAGAAAAAAAAATAACACGTGTTCAACTCTGATAACACTTCTCGGAAATCGCGGTTGCATTGCGGTTTACAGTTTTCTTGGTGTGCGCCCGGCCTAAAGGTAGTGAACGGTAGTGAATAAGTCGATGATTTAAATAATTAATTCATTCCACTAATTTTATATTGTTTTTCTTGTCAGTAATACGCGTAATACGTTATTAATCGTTATTAATGGACACAACAGTGACAGATAAAGCAAATTAAAGTACAGTTATCCCTGTAACAGGCCGTGGAAGCCCGTAGGGTTGTGTGATGTTGAGGTTCCCACATTTTCTAGACAATCGGCTCATAGATAGACCCGAGGGCTATAGTGCGGAAGGATTAGATCAATTGAAAAAATCCAATGACCTCATCGGGACCAGAACCTGCGACTTTCCGGCTTGTAGCATAGTGCCTCTTAATCCAGTGACCTCATCGGGATTATAACCCGCGACCTTCCGGCTTGTAGCATAGTGCCTCAATCAACTGCGCTACCGCATAATTAAGGTAATGTTTCCATGCGAAGTAAAGTTACAAAAAAAAAAAAGGACTGATTTGGCCAAAGACCACTAGTTTGGTCAATCATTGAATCAACAGCAAGTGAGCTAGTGTTTCGTATGGCTATACAGGCCGTACAGTTGTTGGCCGATGCTTCGATGTTATGTAATATCAGTTCTTGCGGATATGGATATAAAACCGGAGTGACCCGATATCTTAGACTCAATGATCGTTATGATTAGTTGAGAGTTTGTTTGGTTTGCTAAGTGGCAGTATTAGCGGCAGTCTATGGTGGAGGAGAAGGACGACGTTAGTTGATTTCGAGAAAATTACCAAGTACCAAGCGAAAGTATTCAGCGGGAATAGTTACATTTTCATATTGGCGAAATGTTAAACGCTACAACGAACACGGTAATTTATAAAAGTTTTGTAACAAAATCAGTGACGGTTATTTCAACATTCAAGAATGCTACAGGCGCGAGAGGCGTGCATATGTCTTCGAAAAGGTGAGGTTCTACATAATGTACCAGTGTGGCTTTTCGTAGCCAGTGCCCATGTATTCATAAACTGTTGTCTTCTAGTTAAGGCATACAAATTTTATGTCCATTCCTTATGTTAAATATTCCAATTCTGATTATATAGGAGCATTGCACATTTCATACTGCAGAGCTGCAACACATTTATTTATTGCCTTATTATTTCTTAGATATATGTTATAATAACGACTTTGCTCTGTGAAAAAATTATTGTTGCAAAATCCAAAGAAGTGAAACTGGATCAAATCTGGCAAAGTCTTATAAGGAAGGCTGTGGCCAAAAAAGTGCTACTTTGCCTATGGTGTTGATGTTACAGTGAATTATAAACGTAATTTAAAATTTTGTGGAAGTGAGAAACTATTGACCATTGTACAAGGAGGTCATCTGAGGGCCACCTGCAAGTTGCTTAACCATTCCAGCAGAAGAAGCATGTGCTCTTTGTGTCAACTTTGGCTGTTTAACCAGATCCAAAGCACAGCCAACAGGCCAACAGGCCATCAAATTGTTAACAGAATCCATCCAGTATGCAACAGATTGTGGAAGTGGGCCCCCTTGTTATATACACTTTCCTTGCACCTTCATAATAAGTTCAAATTCTTGAATTGTAGTCCCCCCCCCAAAAATAGAGCACACTTAAAATTTGAAGCCCAAAACTGTAAGCTCCAATCTTCCTGTTAAAGCATCAAGGAATGTGGAAACCTAGCATCAGTTTGACCCATTTCCTTTTCAGTGAGCACTTGCGGAAATTATGCAGGAAGATACTTTTTTTTTTTTTAATTTTGTGAAGTAGATATGTTAACTTACACAGGAATTGTTGTCATATTGGTAATGATGATCCCTATGTCAGAAATGTTTAAAAAGGCATTAAAAATCACAACTACTACAATATACCAAAATCTAACCAAACATTAATATACAAAGCAGAAATTTACATATTAGCATCATTCAAAGTAAATAATCAGCCAAGCCTTAACTTCACTACTTAGGCCGCACCATAGCTCAAGTGGTTAGTCGCTGGCTTTGCACTGCGGCGGCCCGGGTTCAGTCCCGGGTCTGGTCAAGTGAAATTTGTGGTGGACAAAGTGGCGCTGGGGCAGGTTTCCTCTGAGTACTTCGATTTCCCCTGCCAAACTTCATTCCACCAAATTCTCCATCATCATAATCACCTGGGGCAAGTACAATAGGCCAATCAGTGGCTGCCATGCCAAGTGGACCCAGCTGGACTCCACCCCCCACTAATAAGATAAAAGAAAAATTACCTTCACTATTTCAAATTGTGGTCTGAACCTTACTTCTGATTTAAATATTTCGGCCTTCAAGTTTCATTCTGTTGTTTGACTTCCTGTCTGTAAGAACAGCTGATGTTTGTAATATTTTTGCATCTATTTTTAGCAGAAATATTATTCATTGGAAACCCCCTGCAAGAGATTGACAGACCTATTTATTAATAGTTTATATAAGTGCTGTGTTTATTTGAGTTGTGAATTCAACATTTATCTGGTGTTTTCATTTCCTTACATCACCTCATCACCTCTCAGCTAGGATCAGCAATCTTGACAAAGTTTTTGTTGTTCTACCATTTCATTTAACATTTTTGGCCAGTACTGTGAAGTAGATAGAGATTTTCCTTCCCCAGTCCTTCCAGTTCATTGTCTACAATCATATGATGTTTCAAATCCAAATCTACATTATTTCAGAAGGTATTAGGCATTGATATACAAACTTGATACCTATCATTTGACAGGTACATTGAGGTAAGTTACTTAGCATATCAAGAACTTATATAAAATTTAAACTTTAAATTATGTCATGGTTGCCAGATCTTTGATTTGGAAATATGAGACAGTTTCAAGGGGTGATTGGAAGAAACTCTGTAGTAACCAATACCAGATTTGAGTAAGCCAAGGGAAAAACCAACATGAAGCAGGCAGCAACGTTTTGAGGGGAGTGCCAGTTGCTGCCTGCTTCATACTGGTTTCTAGTCTGGCTGACTTTTCAGCCCTGGAGGTGGAGGTGGCATGTGCCTCTGAAATGTTAGTTGACTTTCACTGGACTACACAGCATTATACCCCAAAAGATGGTACTCTCTGCTGTGGGGACCTCTAATCTGACATGTTCTAGCATTTGTCTGGAGAGGCTGAAGAAAACCAAAGAATTATAACAAAGTACAGCAAAATAAACTAAACTAATAACTGTAGGTGTTGTTGGTGTGTTTCTTTGTTTATCACTTGTTTCTGAATTGTGTACATTAAAATTTATCTTATAAATGCTGTAAGTGTCAGAGGACTGAAAAGGATTTTGTATTTCAGGGTAGCATTTTTGTATAATAGTCATCATAAATATTAGGACGTGGAAGAACTCAGTAGTCTTTATCTGTTAATTTTTTTTTAAATTTGTTTTCAGTAAGTGAAAATGCTAAAAGTATTAATAGTACATGCATATTCTTCACATCCAGTGCCCACAATATACACAGTAGTGAGAACCCAGCTGCTGTCACTGTGATTCCTCAGGACAAACCAATCACAGACCACCTTCAGTCTCCTACTTAACTATAGCTCCATAAATGTGTCTATTGCTTGCCCAGAAGTTGGCAGCTATAACATCTGCAAAGATGTTGGACATGTATATGTTTTTTAGTGCAGTGTGTGGCCCATAAAAGGGCTAGCTGCCCAATTTACCAGTAAGTTGTCCTTATTTGGCCCAGATGGGACACTGATCCCCCCTATTGTTTTTTTTAACAGGATCCTGTGTAATCCAAAGTCATCCACCTCACACACTTTGACCCTGAAGATGTAGGGACCATGTACCTCCAAAATATCTCCAACATAACATGTCTCCACACAGTGTAACAATGCACCAACAGAATTATCACCAATGATAGACCACCATGAAAGCCTAAAAACAGGAATTTGTGTGTGTGTATGAAGCCATTTTATAATCCACATGAAATTAAGGTCTTGGAATGGTGACTATGAAAATTGCCGTCTTTTTGGATGTGATGCCATATAGTCTGGTAGAAGTTATTTGGTAAACTTTTGCCAGATGTCAAGGTTATCACAGACGTCTTCTATGTAGAATTCATGTTTAAATCAGTTATTGTTGATTCATTTTGTATGCATTGAATAACTTGCACTCATCATATTCATCATTGTCAACTCCGCTGCCGCCGTTGTCATCGCTGAGGTTTATGAATGAAGGTTTAACTACTGTCTGTTACAAGGCCACTTATTATAAACTGGTTTGAACTTGTTTTGTTGGTTTTCTTTCATCTTAATGCTAAAGTCAATAAAGCGTTTGAAAGGTTAAGGCTTGTGATAACCGCTAACAGATCTAAACTGGTTTGCTTTGGTTGGGAGAAATAAACTTTGACATTGAATGACTTTCATTTTTATTTTAATATTCTTCCAGTTTTGCTTCTTCTAATTTGAAGGATGGATAGCAAAGTCCATGGTGTTCTTGGTGCTAGTGTTATTTGATTGGCGCTGGTTTGAAACCAACATTGTATGGTTACCCAGTCAGGCTCAAGCTGAATACCCGCAAATACAATACAGTCTAAGGCATTATGGTCACACCAGCTTGCTCAGTGATGTATGGTTTGATACCCAGGGCAAACTGTCTTAACAAAAACTTCTCTGATATACCATATTATATTTTCATAATTTGTACTAGTTTATAAACTTTTCCACCAGATGTTATGATTGGGTGAGTAGTACTCTTACTTTCGGAGACCGCCTGTCCTGACTGTTGTTTTTGTTCCTGGTTTTCCTCAGTATAACCAGGCAAATAATGGGTTAGTACCTGAAATTAGATCAGGGCAGCTTTCTTCCATATCATTTTCAATTCATCATGCATTAATTATCCTGCATTTGATGCTATATAGTATGTATGATATCCTGACAGCATCTGACAGACACAAAATGAATAAATGAAATATGTGGCTTTTTCCTCATCCCAATGTAACCATCACAATTCTTGCAGCACATGGGATACAGGATTCACAAGACATACCAGTTTTTAGAAGCCAGTGAGAAGACCTTGCAGGGTCCCCTCCCAGTCAATCAAAGCTGATATATGCTAAGAGCAGATGAACTTTAGCAGCAGATTATACTGGAAACAAGGATTGTAAACAAACAGAACAGATAGTGATGCAGGCATATTCTGTGTTCATGTGATACATACAGTTTCATCAAAATATGTGATTAACAGATGTGACTGTTAATAATAACTTACCAACCAGAAGCCTGTATTAATCAGATAAATACTGTAAAGGTCACTGAAGTATTATTTTTAGCCTCATTGCATCATGTTTCACAGGATATGTAATTTGTAAGATTTGAGGCTTTCACGGCGGTGACTATGAAGGCCCGTGTATATGTGGTGTTAACACCACATATACATGGTGCCAAATCCCAGAAGACTGCTTTCTTGATATGTAATTTGTTAAAGTTTTGGAGTCATGTTCATGATTTATTTTAGGAACCCATCTGTGTTCATGATTTAACTTGTGCAGTTGAACAGTCTGTGTTATCACTTTTCTGTCCCTTCGTGATTCAAAGGCATTGTACATACTTTGATGCTCTGAATGATTGATTTCACATTAGACCATTGCTGAGCACTGATTATACAAGCTAGTACATGTATGCATTGTTTAACCATTTGAGCCCCAAATGTGTATACCATTATTTCCCTGAGGACACCACCTATGCATTTTTAGTTAGGATGATGGTCTGTATAAATGGCTGCAATTTAACCAAAATCATGTTAACCATTTTAAAGAATATTGAAATTTTTTTGGAAGATCATATGGAAGACCCAGTTTTTAGAGCTAGAATTTTCATATTCACTGCATGCCAACCTATGATAGATAAACTCCTAATTACTGATTATGAATAGAATCTGTTACTGACAGATGACATTCCAGAAACACTTATTCATATTTGGGGGTGCTGAAGATGTGTAAGCCTGTCAGAATCTCAAGATTGGTATTTTCATCATCACAACACTTCCTTGTGTTTGTACTGTTTTCATATTCAAGTATGCTGAGAGTGTGTTAAGTCTGTCAGAATCTTGACTATTTTTTTTACCAGAAAATACTTTTTTGTATATATGGCATATATGTAAACGGTAAAAAAAAGTGAAGCTATCCCTGTAACAGGCCGTGGAGGCCCACATGGTTGAGACATAGAGATGCCCACATTTTCTAGACAGTCGACTCACAGATCGTGGTGAGGTTGTCAGGCTGACATCCAGGCCACCCTTTTATCCACAGGAAGATTCCTGGTATTCATTTCTGTTAGAGGCTGAGTCAACCCCAGGACCATAGTGTGGCTGGAAGGATCGAGAATTGAACCCATGATCTCCTGGGTTGTAGAGTAGTGCCTCCAACCAACTACACTATCGCTTGCCCCCATATTGTGTCTACGAGAAAGTAAAAAGTATTTTACAGAGCAATGTTGTCAGCCCTGGTCCCCGTATGTATGTCCTCCAGTGACAGGGTGACTCAGTTATCACTCCAGGCACTGGGTTCCTTTTTTTTTTGCCTTGTATGACTTGCAGGGCTGTGGTGGAGGTATTGTAACCTGCCTCCGCATGGGAATGTTACTGTTGTTAACTGGCTCATTTAATTATGGTGCATGTCTTGTTTTGAATTATGAGACAAACTTCTCTTTCAGATTGAAAGCACAGATCATAGATGGTGCCAAGATTGCCCGAGACATACGCCAGGAACTGAAAGTAGAGGTTAATGAATGGGTTGCTCGGGGCAACAGGCGACCCCACTTGATAGCCTTACTTGTGGGGGAGGATCCTGCTAGTGCAACTTATGTCAAGAACAAGATGCAGGCTGCTAGAGAAATTGGTGAGACCATTGCTGTAATTACTGATTGATTGATTGATTGATTAATGTGTTCAGTTTAGCAATGACAATAACAAGCTTTTTTTATTTCTTGGCTTGTGTTACAACACTTTGTCAGCTGCAGAGGTAGATACAGATTTTCAAATGAAAGGTGATTGAAAGTAATAATTAAGGGAGGTACATATTAGGAGGGAAGGAGCAAGACTGCAGAGAAACTTAAATTCCGATGGTTGGTTTCTGGGCCAAGATTCAGACCTGAACACAAAGCAGAAATGCTAATCAGTACACTCACAGGAGACCCCCCCCCCCCCTCAAGAATAAACAAACAAACGTATTCCATGTACAAACTCTTCAG